TCTTTAGATACAATCAGTAGGGTGAGTAATCTTGGGATGACACCTGTGTTTACATTGTCCTCTAGGCAAGGGCATCCAGGGATTAAGCATACGGATTCCAGTAAACACCTGGGGTCTGTATGTAATCAGACTTGTTTGGAAAGGTCAAGGAATAATTAGGGGCACCACCTTCGACACTCCCCTATGTCTCCCCTAAGTTGGAATTCCGATTAACAGGGCAGGTGGCCTTCCACACACTTCCCTTTTATCAGAATGTCTTCCTTACAACTTTCCAACCAAATCTCTTATGCTCTCCAACCCCACAGTGACCATTACTAACAAGTTAATGTAACCACACATTCTAGCTCAGCACCTGACATATTACAGAAGGAGCAAAATATGTATATATTTGCCCTAGCTGGTTTGGCTCAGTGGATAAAGCTGATCTCCAGTTCCATCCATGCTGTTGTAAATGGTAAGAATTCCTTCTTTTTTTTTACTGCAGTGTAGTATTCCATTGTGTAGATGTACCACAGTTTTTTTTTTTTTTTTTAATTAAATCTTTTTTGTTCAGGTTACATTTGTTCCTCTTTTTTTCCCCCTATAACTCCCCTCCTCCCAGTTCCCGCCCCACCCTCCGCCCTCACTCCCCACCCTCTGTCCTCATCCATAGGTGCACGATTTTTGTCCAGTTTCTTCCCGCATCTCCCATTCCCCTTTCCCCGCCAAGAATAGTCAGTCCATTCCCTTTCTATGTCCCTGATTCATTATAATCACCAGTTCATTCTGTACATCAGATTATTTATTCACTTGATTCTTAGATTCACTTGTTGATAGATGCATGTTTGTTGTTCACAATTTGTATCTTTACCTTTTTCTTCTTCCTCTTCTTAAAGGATACCTTTCAGCATTTCGTATAATACTGGTTTAGTGGTGATGAACTCCTTTAGCTTTTCCTTATCTGTGAAGCTCTTTATCTGACCTTCAATTCTGAATGATAGCTTTGCTGGATAAAGTATTCTTGGTTGTAGGTTCTTGGTATTCAGCACTTTGAATATTTCTTGCCATTCCCTTCTGGCCTGCAAAGTTTCTGTTGAGAAATCAGCTGACAGTCGTATGGGTATTCCCTTGTAGGTAATTGAGTCTCTTTCTCTTGCTGCTTTTAAGATTCTCTCTTTGTCTTTTGCTCTTGGCATTTTAATTATGATGTGTCTTGGTGTGGTCCTCTTTGGATTCCTTTTGTTTGGGGTTCTCTGCGCTTCTTGGACCTGTAAGTCCATTTCTTTCACCAGGTGGGGGAAGTTTTCTGCCATTATTTCTTCAAATAGGTTTTCAATATCTTGCTGTCTCTCATCTTCTGGCACCCCTATTATTCTGATGTTGGTACGCTTGAAGCTGTCCCAGAGGCTCCTTACACTATCTTCGTATTTTCGGATTCTTTTTTCATTTTGCTTTTCCGGTTGGGTGTTTTTTGCTTCTTCGCATTTCAAATCTTTGGCTTGATTCTTGTGCTCCTCTGGTCTGCTATTGGGTGTCTGTATAATATTCTTTATTTCAGTCCGTGTATGCTTAATTTCTAGTTGGTTCTTTATCATAGCATCGAGGGTCTCATTAGTTTTCGTGACTCTCTCCTCAAGTTTATTGACAGCTTCTAGCACATTTTTGCAAGCCCTCAAAATTGCGATTTTTAGCTCTATATCCTCCATTTCTGTCATGTTTTTTTGTCTCCGCATTTTTTATGCTTTCTTGGTGCACCCTCTAGTGGTCTTTGTGCGCAGTCTTGTTCTAGTTGAGCCTTGATTGTTGTAGTTAATACTAGAGGGATTTGACCACCAGGCCGACTGGCTGTGTGAATCAGCTGTGTCTGCCGCGGAAAACTTCTGTCCTCTGGGGAGGTGCTAATCTAGCCTTTGCCTGAGGCGATCCGGCAAATGGCTCTGCGCAGGGCTTGGGCGGGGCGGGCTCAACAGGGCGGGCGGAGGGAGCCGTTATGGTGCCCTCAGTCCTGTTCCCAGAGGCTCTGCTTCTCAGAACCCCCGGAACCGCTGCAAACCTCGGAGGGAAAGCTGCCTTCCAACTGATGCCAGACACTCCCGCTTCTCCCGTTTGGGTCCGAGTCCCCAGCGATTCGCCCGTATCTGGAGCTCAGAGTCTGAGACTCCCCCCTGACCGAAAACGACAACCGCGCTCTCAGCCACCAGCCCGCTTTGCGCGCGCACCTCCGCACCTGAGTATTTTCCACACTGCGCCTCCTCTGAGCCTCGGTGTGCTGTTATTTTTCCTTCTAGTTGAAGAGTCTCTCCTCAGCCAGCCTTCCTGCGGTTCTGGGTGATGTCCGTTCAGTCTTTTAGTTGTATTTTTGAAGTGGCTGTTTGCGGCAGCAGTCTGCGGTGTTTACCTATGCCGCCATCTTCAAGGAGCTTTAATTAACACTGAAAAATAAATACTACTATATCTGTACTGTTTTAATTTTTTATAAGAGGAAAAATTAATGTATTATTTCTATAATTTACAATGATTTTTAAATAAATTTAAAATAATTATGCACAATAGTATGCACATAAGATGTTCCTAAGTCAATGGTAGGTTTTTTTTCTCTCTGACAAAAAGCAGTCCTGTGTTCTCTTTTTCTAATACATACTAGAATGTACTAGAAAGTTTGGTTACCAGGGTCTTTGAAATTATCTTATTCATTTAGGACAATGTATCTCAATGCGGGTTTTGCTCATTAACGCTGCCCTTTTGTCTACTCTTTCTTTGTCAAGCTGAGGGCCCTGTGGTGACCTCCAAGTATGAATGCTATGGCTGCGTGCACCCCATATCGACTGCCAGCCCTGATTTGGACCCTGTTCTGAGACATGCCATTCAGCATTTTAACAACCACACTAATCATCCCCACCTCTTTGCTCTTAAGGAAGTAAAAAGGGCACAGAGACAGGTTTGTGCTTTAGTTTCCATTTCTCACAGTATTGTTAAAATTTGTTGGATCTTTATGTTTAGGGTTTCATAACCTAAAATAAACCACTGGTCAATAGAAAACCTATGATTCCATGAGTGGTGGTGAGGGAGCTCTTTTATGTCCTCATCTAACTGGTATAGGAGGTAAAGAGCTTTCTCTTGAGTCAAAGTGATTCAGATACTGCAATATATAAAGGGCAAAAGTGTGGCTAAGCAGACCCCTGGCTCTGAGGCTGGTTTTAATGAATGGGTAGTCAGAAATACATGGTTTTTTTAGAGATGGTGAGATGAAAAGATCATTCTAGCCTTAAGGTTTTAAGAACGGTCTTTTTTTTTTTTTAGTTTTATTCATTTCAAATGGCCGGATCCGGCCCGCGGGCCATAGTTTGCCCGCGGCTGGACTAACCCAAGATAAAGCAGCACAAAACTTACTGCCTGACTGTCTGGGAACCTGAGAACTTATCAGCAAAGGCCATTCTAGCTCCAAAGTGTTTTTAACCATCTAGAAGAGTATTATTCATATTTCACAAAATTCAAAAGGACATTATTTTTCTGTTGCCTGGCAGAGGAAATATTGCTTAGGTTTTTCTTAAGAAGATACAGTAATTCCACTTAAATATATATTGCTTTTTATTTTCAGATGTGTCGAAGTGTGTGTGTGTGTGTGTGTGTGTGTGTGTGTGTGTGTGTTGGGGTG